TGTGTGTGTGTGTGTGTAAAATTAATAATATAATATATAATATATTATATATATATATATATATATATATATATATATATATATATATAATATATTTAAGTGTATATTATATATTTAAATGTATTTTTATCTTTATTTTTTTATATTTTTTGTTTTTCATCAATTTTATAGATGAACATTTATTTTATCTTACAGGAAAACAAAAAGCTGTTTTAGATGTTGCTATACAAAGTACTTCGAATAATACTCCTAATAAAACTATCGATAAGTAAGTAACTTGATCACTTTAACTAATTTAAACTATCTCCAAAATAGTTTATCAATTTTTCTTATACATGTGAGTTACAAATAAAATTATATCTTTATCATTTTTATCCATTTGTGCAGATCTACAGAAGAAGCCACCAGTTTGTCCTAATAATTTATAATTTAACTATAACATAGCAGATGTTCTGTGATTTCTATTTTAAATGTTAATTATATATACGAAATTAAGAGAGAAAGGAATAATTATTTTATCAATCAAAAAGATTCTGGGATGCATACAAATTTATATATCATGTTTAATTCTTTTTCTTGATTTTAAGAGAAAATCAATAAACACATCTCTTAAATTTATCATGCATTTTGTAGTTCAAAGTATAACAACATAATTGGTGCTTACGAGTATATATGCAAAATTGTCATTTAAAATTGCATTCCAAGATATGTAGATATTTTAGATGATTTATTAGAATATTCAATATTATTTATTTTTCATATGTGTTTCATGTCCAGAAAACAAATAAAAATTAATAATAAATTACATATCATTATAATCAATCTCCTCTTCTTTTTCATGTGCAATTTTATTTATTATTATTTTATTTGTATGTATACATAATAAAAATGTACACATTGTTAAATATAATCTTTTGTTTCCTTAATTTATTTTAATAGTTTTTTTTTAATAAAAAATTGTTACTCTTAAAAATTCATTCGAAATCGAAAAGCAATTATAATAGCGCCGAAATAATCATATTTTGAAATAAAAACTATTCTGATATAACACACAAAGATGTTGGAGGGATAGTAGAAAAGATTAGAGCATTGCAGATATTCTGGAATATAATTTTTATCAATTTCTAATTACAATTATAATTAAAATAAGAAAAGAATTTATAAAAATAAAAAGATTTTATAGAAAATTAATATCAATGTATAGAAAAATCTAATATATTTATTTTGTATTTGTGTCTATAAAAATTTTAATGTGTAAAAAAGTATTAAAACTAAAAAGTATTAAATTCTAAAAAAAACTGATATTAAAAACTAACGCTAATTTGTAATCAATAAAATTTAATCTAATTGGTACTTGTATCTATTCTACTAAATTAAAATGCACTAATTTCTATTATATTTCGGTACTAAAATGTAATTATTATTCTTATAATCATACATACATTATAAAGAGATTTAATTAACAAGAGCTTAAATTTACAAATATTTAATTACTGAAAGGAAAAGAGAGAATCCTGATTAAGAAAATGATTATCTAATGTTGAAATTTGCTTCTGATGACGATTTGGGTGTTTTTTAAAATTTACTTATTTAAATTTTGCATTGCGATATCTTTGTTTATGGAGCACAGAAAGAAAACCGGAAAAATATTGTTATATAATTTAATTTCAGTTATCGATTATAGGTAAGAGAGTAGTTAGAATTCAATCGAGTCAGCCTTTGCTGAGATAATGAAAATAGCCAAATTCATCTTAGGGAACAATCAAATAAAGGATATCCTTCCTAATCCTCTCTGATAATAGCTACGGGCATATCTCGCCGCCAGACGACTTTACTGTGCATGAACTTGGCGACTATCCGTATTCATATCTCTTCTATAAGATTCTATAAGAAAAGATAAGATATTTCATTTATCCCTGATGGATATACAGCGAATGACACAAGGATCCGTCCTATGGATATCTTAGTGTTAGTCCAGAAGACATCCAAGTGAACGCAAAAAATATATTATGAGATTGTTACACTCGATATTCTGTAGATATTCTGTATAGAATAGATAAAAAAATTGTAATTTAATAAGAAAGGGGATGATTGTATATGAAATAATTGCAAAATAAATTTTCTTTTTTCATTAACACTCATAGACTACTATTTTTAACTTGTTATTCTTTCACTAGCATTTCTATTTTATGTAAATGTTTACATAAAAATTTATTTAAAAGTATACAGTAAGTTTATACTGTACAACTGTATACAATTATAATACAAAAATATTTTATTAGAATATTTTAGATATTAGTTAACGAATTACCTTCGGAAATTGCATTTGAAAATCTGAAATAAAATATATGTAAGTGTACTTATTTTTACCTGATTAATAAATCCATTGATTTGATTTATTATTATTCAGGCGTTTCAAACGAAAATATATCACATATAGTACATTTTATCTCAGATTTTCAAATGTAATCCTGGAATAATTCAGTAATATTCAAGGTATTATACTAGATTATCCGTTATTAATTGCTATATTATTTAATATAAATATCGGAATAATATATATTAAATTTAAATTTAATATGTATTATTTACAAGTATTTGTATTAAATAGTACTTTTAGCAATTGGTAACATTCCCTGATGATTTATTTTTATCAGTTAATGATAATATTGTTTTCTACATTTCAATTTAATATTTAAATTTTCTACATGTTTATTATAATAATTATTACGTCTCTCTTTCTATAATTTATTCTGAAAAAATATGTTTTGATATATAGAAATTAATGTCGAGAATTTTGTTCTTTGATATTAATTCTAATACTATATTCTTTTCAAATATTTAATCTGTCTCTTTGTGATCAAAAAACAAAGCCGTATTGTTAATTAAATTCTTAAAAATTGTTTAAATTAAATCCTGAATTATAAATTTACTTGTATTTCATATTCTTTATAAATTATTATTGTTTAAATATTTAAAAATTTAATTAATACACAAAATTTCTTTTACTTTAAATCATATAAAACTTACTTTGATAATTTGATAAAATAAATAAGTAAATAAAAATTCATCAGAAGTTTTTAATTTCTATTTGAGATTTTTTATGTTTTTTAATAAAACAATATTTAAAAGTGACAGGCGTATAAAATATATCGAAAATTTGTTTTTAATTTTAATTAATAAATAATCACATTTAACATTAAATTCCTCTTAGATAAAAACAAAAATTTTCAAATTTTAATAGAGTAAAAGACAATATTACTGGCTCCATTATTGTCAAAATTTAAATATTTTTTAAAAATATGAAAATTATATTTCAATATAAAAATTATACATGTTATTTTATTAAATTTTAATAGAATTTTTGATAAAAAATTAGATTACACACACACACACACACACACACACACACACACACACACACAACAAACAAA